CTTCCAAAATTACGTAAGACAACCGGTCACTAACAAATTCTACTCTCTTAACTGCTGCCCTAATTCTGCTATGAACAAAAAAACCCGTCCCTAACCGATGATTGTCATTCCCCTTTCCATAGAAAAATGTAAAATTGTCCACAGGGATCGTGCCCTCCCCCTCCCATCGCACTTCCTGTACTGCCACTAAATCTAACTTATAATTCTCTAATTCCCTACTCACTGATTTCAGTGCCCCAGCCCTAGAGCCTCCTAACATTCCACATTCTAAATCTCATTTCCTTTTTCGATTGCGATGGTCGTGCCGTCCTGGTCCGAGGCTTTGGTAATTTTTGCGTAACAATGCCGTTTTTACGGTGAAATGTTGTTACCTCACGCCCAACCCCCAAGTTGGAGGACCACCCATCGTCTGCTGTCCGTGACTGCTTACTGAATATATTCGCAGTTAACCTCCATAACTGGAGGCTGTTGCTATATCCTCAACCTGAGGACGCGCCATGCCGTGGTGCGAGGGACCCACCAAAGTTACCACATATTCGTACCTAATAATACGAACATGAGATTTAAGATTCTCACGGCGGTAAATATGTAGATGTTAGTCTTCTGGGTTTTGTCTCCGTGTGGATATGTAGGTGGCTACCAACGCTTCAGAGGAACATGTCGCCTCCATCCTCAGAACTACAGGCATAAAGATGAAAGCAGTATATTCCTCCGAAATGTTGGAATCTACCCACAAGTCCATAAAAAATTAAACCAATAAGACCAGCATGGGCATAATATCAAAACACAATAGAGACACATTTCAACCATAAATAATTTTCCTTTTATGTCGTTAAAAATGCACCATAACCATGAAAAAATACTGTTTCAAACATAAATATATTACTGAGATCAATATTTTTAATAATGATTAATAGCGAATTTAATATTGATTATTACGTGGGAATTAGCCTTTTGTACGACTCTTTTAACAAAAACTTACATTTTAAATGTTCGATTTGAATGTTATGCAAAATAACTGTTGTAATGGACCGTTATAAACAAACGTTACAACCTGAATTCGTCCAAATTTTCGTATATATCCCAATACCAAATTTAATCGAAATAGTCAGTAATTTCGGGCATAAATCATACGTATACATTACATCCCCATCGTGCACTCGTTTTATGCACCTCATTCAAAGTACAGATCACACCCTTCCATGCAACTTATTCAAAATTCAGCCTTCTTTGAAAACAATAAAAACATGAAAATAAAAAAATAAAAACAATAGCAGTTTGAATCGGTCTTAAAAGAATCGGTACTATCATACAAAATCATAAAAAAAAAATTGCCGACTATGCCACAGACTATCCCACTCCCGAAACCTTGCAAAACTCTGCGAACCTCCTCAGTCCCTGGCGTCGCCTGGCTGATTCTTCGTCCTGAGCGCGCGCCTCTCTGCCTCGACTGTCCCTGGTCGCCAACTGGATCAGGGCCCCACACACACGGGCCCAAAGCGTGGGCATCATTCCCGGATAGCCTCAACGGCTCTACAACAGAACGGATCGCCCATTATCAGGCCAGTCAACTGTGTCCCAACCATCTGAAGGTGGAGTTACTCTGTGCGTAACGGCTACTGGATGAGTGAGGTTAAGTCGCATGCAATCTCAACAAAAGATGAATACGGTCGGCTTCAAGCTACAACCAAGTTTACTTGACAGTAAAGACCATTTAGTTCTACTGGAGAGGAAGACAGGTGAATTCCAGAGATGATTTCAACGGTGATGGCAAACAGAAATTCTGAAGATGACTGTCTTCTGAAATGTCTACACCGTGTAGTGTGGTTGAAGTGTGACGATGTTTCAGAAGTGTTTGCTAACTCCATCATCAGGGCTGTAAAAATCTACCAGAATACCGTGTAATGTGGTAGAAGTTTACCGACGTCTAGGACTCATCGCCCTGATGATGAAGGTGGCGAGGATCTCATAAACGTCGGTAAACTTCTACCAGACTACACAGCGCAACAACCCATAAAACATCCATCTTCAGACTCAGAGAAGTGAAAATATCAAATCTTACAATCCAAGTGTTCTTTACATCATGTTACTGCTCCATAAACGCAGGATTTTACATGTAACGGAAATTTCGTGAGCTGTTGTGTGATAATGTACACTTCCGCTCCATACACATCCTGACCACACTGGTCGGTTGGTAGTGTGCACCTGCGGTAATGGCAATGTTTATGACCATGTTTCAGCACCTACTGGCATCTCAACAAATAGCATAAGTCTTTAAGAGTTTCATGAGTGTCGAAATGACATAAGATACTTCGAATTCTAGTTAAAAAAAACATACACAAATTAGTCTATCTGGACTGCTACATCAGACCTAATAAAAATCTATTGTTCACACATTCTCCTTGGTACAGCGTCGATACTAAACTTCTCAATACATTTCTAAACCACTCTACGGGACCTTATCATGAACCAGTTCAATCATATTCACACGCAAATCCCTGAAATCCATTTTAATATTATCTTCCAACATGTATTTAATAACTGCTGTACTTGAGTTGACCTAGAACAGAATTAGACAAATTGCTCACTCAAGTCCACAAACGACCATGTGACAGCCATGATGAACAAGCTTTCTACCTGCTGGGATTTCGACCTTGAGTCTTGCGCCACAACGCGTTACATCATCCTGTTAAATCATCACTCCACGTGCCCAAGATAATAAAAACTTGAATTCTTTTCTCCTACTGGACGATATATCCCACAAGACATCTCACTCATGCATGTTTCAGTATAATGCCTGCAAAACATTTCTTGTTATTGGACAATCTTCGGGCTAAATAAAGTCAACGAAACTCCAAACCGACAAGGCATAAATAGCATATATAAACCAGACAAAAAACTGTGTTCTTTGTAAGGCAAACTAAAAAGGCAGGTAAAAGAACCACAATATCGCACCCAGAAAAAGTATTATTCAGAATGTCTTATAATCCAAAAAATATAAATAGCCAACTGCTTAAAAATATCACACAATATAAATGGAAAAAAATCCCAAGTTGGTCTTAGCGTTCCCTTAAAAACATACACACAATCTGGAAACATTAAAAATAACAAAATGTCACACCCATACAAAACCACAGGCAAAATTGTTTTTTGACAGCAGACCAAAATACAAAGGTTTCTGAACTGAATGGTAGCAAGCATTACCCGAATTTAATGTACTATTAATTTGCTCATGAATCAAAATCTGATCGTTCCCAAATATCTAAACTTCGCCACATTTTCTAAGGATCCATTAGCTATTTTTATGTGACGATTTTGACCTTCATTCTGGTGACGAGATATCAATAAATAACTAACCAACTAGATGGCTTACCGAACCCGAAGGTTCATCACCGAATTAACCAAAGCCCTCCACTGGACCCTGTCCTGGGCCAACAAAATCCAGTCTCCTTCAACTCCCATCTCCCATAGATCCCGCCTGACATTATCCTCCCATCTACGTCTAGGTCTCCCCAGTGGTCTCTTCCCCTCAGGCTTCCCAACCAATACCCGGTGCACGCCTCTTGCCCCATCCACGCGCGCTACATGCCCCGCCAATCTCATTCTTCTCACCTTAATCACCCTGACAATATTGGGGGAGGAGTACAATTTTTTTTCTAAGCACCTGTTTTTCTTTACGGTATTTATGTTATCCCCCCAAAGTATTTACATCATCAGTATAGACCAGAAGCCGATGTGTCCCATTCAATATGAATCCCACCTGGTTTCCTTAGACCTTCCTAATGGCGTATTCTAAATCAAAGTTGAAAAGCAATGATGATAAAGCATCTCCTTGTTGGCTCTGTTATAAAGTATAATTATCATGTCAATGGAAAGAAAGCATCACAGTCCCTGTGTGTACCATTCAAAAACCAACTATCATAAGTCATAACTGGCATTACATAATTTTGTAAAGTAAATAACACGTTTCACTACACACACCTATAAAATATCAGTGTTCCAGTATAAAATAGGAGACAAAACTAGAGTAACTCTCCAAGTTACAGAACCTTACAGCAGTCGACAACCATTCGACTGTTCAAAAAATTCCAAAGCTACATCACTGGCTAGTGGCCTCTATCCTAACAACAAGGGACAAAGTCCTTCTTGAGAAGCTAACAGTACACTCAGGTACTCAGGAAATACACTGCCTTTTATAGAAACAAAAAGTTCATTAACATGTCAACAACCTTAGATCACTTATTGAATTCAATTTATTTCGAAGTACAATTTGGAAGCAGTTGACAGTAATGTGATACCTCTATAATTATCGCATTTATTTTTAGGTTTTTCCTTTTGTGTTTTCTGATAACCACACCTGTTTCCCAGTCATTTGGTATTTGAAGATAATTTGAAGGTAATTTCTCCTTTAGCAACTTTCCTCCACATTTGAAAAGTTCTGAAGATCATTAAGCTGTGATTATTATTACGTAAGGTAGACAACATGGCCAATTTCAATTATCAGATAACAGTGAATCAGACATGAAGAAATGCTGTTTGTGAACCAAGCACTCTTTGCCATATTAATATAATGGCGAAAAATAAGGACTGTCAGTACACACAGTACTGACAATTTTTAATGCTACGTTATTAGAATGTGGTATAGCTAGCAAGGGGGAATGAATGAGAAAAGTGCCCAACTTCCTTGTTTAGTAACTACAGTTTAACAAAGGGGGAGTTGTCCTTCCTGGGTAGGTAATGTTGCAATGGGTAAAACACATTAAAACCCAAACTTAAAATGGCTTTATCAACATGTGAGCATTACTTTCTTTTTAGTTATTCAATTCATCAGTTCCTTCTCTTAAATTCCATTACAACAGTTAAATCAAAACAATAAATTTGAAATCTATTTCCAACTTCTGATACATTAATTGATTTAAACAGGCTAACAAGAATTACACGGCTAAAAACATTTCACCGAATCTCTTGAAATACAACCAAAAGGTTCAACACGACTAACACAGTGTCTTCTGGCAGAAATTCACTTACATTTAAGGGCTTGCTGCCTACATCATCAGAGCAGCGATCATGAAGGTTGGGTAAACTTCTATCAGACTACGGGGTGCAACAACACAGAAGTCAGCTATCTTAACATTTGTAGCTGTAAGAACCTCAAATCTCATAACTAACACCAGTCTGTCATTCGACCGAATCCTGATCACTATCTCAATCCATTTCACAGCTTTACAACCTTTTTCTTTATATCCATTTTAATATTATCCTTCACCTCCTTAAGTTGCTGATTTCAAAAGTTTCACAACCAAATTCCCAAAGTATTTCTTGCTTTCCCATCTCAGTTACATCCTTGATTTGAACACTTATAATAATGGGTGACACTTTATGAATCATGAAGTTCCTCATTATGCAAAAGTTCAATTATCACTTAAGTTTAGATCCAAATATTTCTCTTAGGACTTAATTTTCAAATACTTGCAAATCTTACCCCCTCCCACAAACTAAGAGGCCATTATGAACGATCTGAATTACTGAGTTTTTGAAATTTATCCATCATCTGGAACTCAAAAACCCTCTACATTTATAAAACTGGATCTGGTTTTTCAGACCATAAAGTAAAAAAGAAACTCAGTAATCCAGACTGTAATATACCACTGTCAGAACCCTTCAGAATCAAAGCTGTGAATAAACTAAATAAACCACGGTGACTGAGAAGCTAGTACATCAGTAAACATTTTCTATTATGGAACCCAGCCTGCCATTGGTTACCTATACTGAGCCAGATGAATCCTGCCCACACCCTCAAAACATATTTATTTAAACTTAATTTTAATATTACTCTCCCATCTATGCCTCAGTCTCTCCTCTCATCTTTTTCCCACCCAACATTTAATTCCATATTCAACTGCTGTTAATCAGCGTATGTTAAATGCTTCACATTTCCTTATTAATTTGATTATCCTATATTATGAAGCTCCTCATTACGCAAATGTCTCTACCCTCCTGTTACATTATCCCAAGTAGTCTCTTCAGTACCCTGTTATCAAAATCCCCCACTCTAGATATACTGTACCCATAAAATAAAACACCGAGCTTCACCCCATACAAAAAACAGGTAAAATTACAAGTGAAATTTGAGTTTCTCACAGTAGCATGTACAAAGATGACTAATTTCTGTGTTGTTGTGCAGTGTAATCTGGTGGAAGTCTACCGATGTTTCAGGGGTAACATAAACAAAACCATAAGCACCTGCCTCCGCCATCAGAGGCCCATAATGAAGACAGTAAGCAGCTCTGAAACATCGGTAAACTTCTACCAGACTACACGATGCAACAACCCAGAAGATAGACAACTTCAGGTAAAATTAATATTTTGAATATTTTAATATTTACGTTTTTAGATAGGATCTGGGAACACAAAAGATTCTGAACTTAAAAGTAGCAAGCATTCCCTGAATTTAATCTAATATTATTAGCAGTGACACATGATATTATTAGCCTATCTTTAATTGTAAAATAAATAAAGTTCACTCATACACA